TGGGATGGTCACCTGCCGCCCCATCTCCACCCCTGTTGATACTAAGTCAAAACTCTCCTCTACTGCTGGACCAGATGCATCCGACCCCTCCCTCTATCGCTCTGTTGTTGGTGCCTTGCAGTATCTCACCTTTACTAGGCCAGACATCACATATGCAGTTCAGCAGCTCTGCCTCCATCTCCATGCTCCACGAGAGGCGCATATGACAGCTATGAAGCGGGTTCTCCGATATCTCCGTGGCACCACTACATTGGGCATCTCCCTCACTCCTTCACGCACGGACATTCTACAGGCATACTCTGATGCAGATTGGGCAGGCTGCCCAGACACTAGACGCTCTACCTCTGGCTACTGTGTTTTCCTTGGTGATAATCTTGTCTCCTGGTCCTCCAAGCGGCAAGCCACCACCTCTCGATCCAGCGCCGAGGCCGAGTACCGCGCCGTCGCCAATGCCGTTGCCGAGGCCAGTTGGATTCGGAACCTTCTCCTTGAGCTCAGACATCCCCTGCAGCAAGCCACCCTCATATTCTGCGACAATGTTAGTGCCGTTTATTTATCCACCAATCCAGTCCAGCACCAGCGCACTAAACATGTCGAGGTTGATATTCACTTTGTTCGCGACAAGGTCGCATTGGGACATATTCGAGTTCTTCATGTTCCCTCCTCCTCCCAGTATGCTGACAGATTCACTAAAGGACTTCCCTCGGTTATCTTCCTGGATTTTCGCACAAGCCTGGGAATTCGTCCCCCACCGCAGCCGACGTAGCCGGGAGCATGTTAAATACACTTAATATATATTTATGTTAAGTATATTTAATGTATTTATTATTATATCATTGTATTATTGGTAGTTACCTTTTGTATAGGTTTCCTTAATTATACTCCTACCATGATTAGGAGTCTCATCTTGTATATAAATATGGTTGTACTCCTACACAATTAATTAATCGAAAATATTCATTCTTCAGAAATAAACTTACATGATTCATATTGTTTATTAATGGGCTTTTTTCTTTTTCTGACTTTTTTGGCTCCTTGCATGCATAAAAAATTGTTGGGGTAGTATTAGATCTAGTATATCCTACCATGCTCATTCTAATGATATGATTCTAATTGACAAAAAAACATACTCATTACATAGTCAATTATCACACTATATGTGGTACAAAGCTACACCAATGTAATTTCATACCTTGTTCATTTCCTTGTGGGTTACATTATGCCTAACAGTTGTACATTTTTGTGGTTGCAAAACAGCTGCGTCACTGGCAGTAGTTATGGGTGTTCCTTGAGAAACCTTCTGTTGTTCACCCTTACCATTCTGAAAAAGAACTTTTGTAGTAGTCGATAACTACAACAAGTCCACATGATAAATACAGTATAAGTCAGTATCACTATTATGTGTAATATTCCTAGAGTTCTCAAAATAAATTCATCAAAAACCCTTACCTGCATAGTCACTACTTGCTTTTGGAATCCACCTTGCTCTTGATGATTTGTTTTTTTCAATGAATTTGTACCTCTTTCTGATTGGCAGCCTTAAGACACACAGTTACAAACAATAAAAATCAATTAAAAATACAAACCTGTCATTGGAACTCACAATAAATTAAATTATCTACGCTTGAAGTACTAATGATATGAAGGGAACCACCTGCTAGAGATGCATTGTGCTTTGGACCATGATTACTGTGTATATCATGCTTTAAGCCTTCATAAGAACCACCTCTAGAACATGGTGAATCATGAGATATATCAACGTGATGGGGTGTGTTTTTCCTTGAACCTTCACGATACTCACTCCTTGTTATCGATGCATCATGTCTCAGTACTTCAGTAGTGGGGCACCATTTAAACGGTAAATCTTGCCTTGAATCTTCATGAGACTCACCATCATTCATGGGATTAGTATGGTCAGAACTGTGATCCCCAAATTTAGAAGTTAGAGAGGCTATTTGATCTTTCATCTTTTGATTTTCATCTTCCATCATTTGCAATTTCTTAAGGATTTTCGCCATTGCAGTTGGCTCAGCATCGCAACAAATCTTATGTAGGTCTTTCGCATTAACTCCACGGCCTAGACCTGTCACATTTCCCTTTTCCGGTTGAGGACCCATTAATATTTTATGAGCAAATTTTTCTGCCTCTCTTGTTTCTTCTGAAAAGTTACAATCTCCAGTCTTTTTCTTAATAATAGCCATGGCTGTGTTCTAACTCAAAACAAAAAAAATACATTAATTATTAATTTTAACCTCATATCAAAGTAACACCCACATGATATATATATATATATATATATATATATATATATATATATATATATATATCATGTGGGTGTTACTTTGATATGAGGTTAAAATTAATAATTAATGTATTTTTTTTGTTTTGAGTTAGAACACAGCCATGGCTATTATTAAGAANACCACAAACTCTGTTGTGATGGGTTCATGAAAGGTTTTATCTTTCTTCTCACGTGTTTGTATGAACCGCTCGATTGGCCCTGGCTTCCGTTTATGCTTCCTTTCCTAATTGGATATATAAAAAGCACATTCAACAGATAACATACATTAAATTTAAAAAATAATGAATAAAGTTGAAATAAAATAATTTATAAACTTACAAACTTATCGAATGAAATTGCAAAACTTTCAGATCCATTAGTGTGAGAATGTGTTAGTTTTTCTCTAGCATTCTTCCCATGTTGAGACTTTTTCTACATATAAAGATAAGAATATTAACACCTTTCTAATTTACACACATATCAGTGTATCAATAATCATTATAACAAGCTTCATATAACCATTGATACTTTGTAAAGTTCAACGCTAACCTCAAAATCTGGTGAAAAAGACAATGTCAGAAATCCAGCCCACATGGCGTCATCCACATCTTTCGGACGTACAAGACCCTCATTGCCACCTGACTTGGAAATGGGCAAATTATACAGGTCCTCCTTGGTTCTACCTTTTTGAATATATTTTTGTCGTAAATTAAAGAATGCTTGTAACCTCTTAACCTCTCCCCAATAGTGCTTAAAATTTTGTCTTTAGCTGAATCGGTGGATGGCAACACAAATTTTTTCTGCGTGTAATTATATAGATGAAAAGTTAAAATTCATTTCAAAAAATATAAAGTGATTCGTATAAGAATAATGGACTCCTAAGACTAACAAAAAAATTAGCTGACCTTTATGTAGTCCAATATGCGATTTTTATATAATGTAGGCACAACATGCCAATCACTATAATTTATAGGACAAAATCGAGGACGCTTTGCAATGTCAGCTACAAATCGGTTGAACAGACCTCCCGCTTTCTTAAGAGGTTGTAAAAGCTGGTTCATTGGTACTAGAATTCTAGTTCCAGCATCCAAGCCAATCACCACATTTACGGTAATTCGTCCCCTAAGCTTACTCACGTTTCCTTGAGCATCTGTAAGAGGACATCACATAAGTAGCACATACACAAGATTGTTGCAAAGAGAAGGTTCAAAAGCATAAAAGTGATGAAAATTAACACGTATTAATACCTATGGTCAACACTTCTTCATCGTCATTAAACCCTTCAGGTACGGGTATAAGAGATGGATCCAAATCAAAGACGACATCAGAGTCATCATCATCTCCATAATCATGATTGTAGTGATTATCCTCTTCACTATAAGTTTCATCTATATCATGCACAGTAAAGTCGTTTGGAGCTCCGCCTTCGTTTTCAAGCAAGTGCTGATACTCTTCAAAGGTACGCTTTGAACGAAACATTACTTCCTCAAATTAGATCTGTGCGGCATAAACTGTTAGCTTCAAGGCATATCATGTAATATACATTATACATGCCCTAAGTAATCAGTTCTGGCACTGCACTTAGGCTAGGAAATCCGGCAAACATAACCTACATCACCCAAGTAAGAACAGCCCCAACAAGCCGCAAGAACCAAAGTAACTAAGTGAGCCAAAGTGAGCCATCAAGTTGCCCAAACATTCCTCCCAAACCCCAACCGAAAGGGTCAAGCGGACCACGAACAAGGG